CCCAATTTGACATGAACTTGAGATTCTTGACTATGTTACAATACAAATCACGAGAGTGTGCTTATTTCTCAAATCTGTGAAAAGCTTGGGCCATTTTTATAGGCACTTGTTCTGCCTATAATTGCAACTTCTTCACAAAAAAAAAAGAAAAAAATTTCAGAACAACCCTTCATCAACGTCAACTCGGTATTCTCACCAGTAATCCTGTCAAGCTTCATATCTTCTCCTACATTGATTGGACCATTGATTCTCTCTCCATGGCTATTTTCAGCTCTTGTCGCATCTCCATGGGCATTGTGTCCAATTATCCTCTCGCCATTTTCGTTTGTTCCCCTCATTTTATCCCCTGTTGCAATGTCTCCTTTTATACTTAGCCCAGGAATATTCAGCCCCGCGATTTTGAGCCCGTTGTTGATGGTGCCTTACATTCTCTCTCCCGGTCTTTTCAATCCTTTAATCATTTCTCCATTGGTTATGTCTCCATTAGTGTTAAGTCCTAGTTTAGGCTCTCCAGTCATATTATCACCAGCTGTGCTGGCTCCACTGGTCTTCTCACCACTTCATCATTCTGCCCTCGTACTAAGTCCTTCTGTGCTCTCACCCCCAATTGGTTCAGATGGAGAGGGTGGTGTTCTTATACTTTCCCCAGACTTGGGATAGACGCTTACGCTGGTATTGTACTTTTCAGTGTTCATTGATAAGTAATAAATATGTTGTACCACCCTGGATTCCATGAGCGTGATTTCATTTATCAAAAACTTTGGGTTTTATTACAGGTGGGAGAAGAGCAGCACGTTGATAACATTTTTACAAGAAAATTAGCAACAACAAGTTATTCACACAACATTAGGGGGTGCCAGCTTTCTTAAAGCATGTTATCTGAGGAGGCCATTCTTCATTGTTCGTGCCGATCACTTCGCATGTTGTAACATAAGTGCTAAGGTTCTCACCGAAGAAGGGCGCGGTTAGTGCCGCTGGAAACGCCTTTTATAATGCATATAACGCAGTTGCACCCGAGAAGATGTGGCAGCATGAGTAAAAATATGTTAAATACTTACACACAAAAAATCCAATCAATGTTATAAATAGGAAATGGTGTTGAAGTTTAAGCAATGAAACTATGGCCGGCGAAAGCGAAGTAGGCTGCATAATCACCCGAAATGTATTTCGTAATGATTCTAACTACATTCAATTACTTTTTTTCA